CGGGCTCTCCCCTCCCCCCCCCCCCCTTATCCCCTCCCCAAATTTCCCCTCCCCCATCCCCCCCTCGGCGTCCATCCACGGCCCCGGGGGGTTGGGGGGAGGGGCCCCCCCAAAATCCAGCACGAGGCTCCGAGCTGAGGACGAGAAGGAGATCAGTGGGGGAGGGGCGTTCCGGAGCCCCCACCCCTGACCCCCCCCCAAAAAAAATGATTGGGGGTTGGGAATTCAGGGACCCCCTCCCCCCCCCCCCAAAAAAAATGGGGGAACCAAAAATTATCCCCTCCCCCCCCCCAAATTAATTTGGGAGAGTCCTGGAGCTCCCCTCCCCCACCCCCCCTAAAAATTGGGGGTTTGGAAGGGTCAGGCCGCCCCTCCCCCAATTTAATTTGGGGGGGGTCAAAGGTCACCCAAAACAACAAAATCGGGAATTTTGCTGTCCCCAAAAACCTCAAAATTCTCAAAAAAATTGAATTTCGGGTGTTTGAAAACCCCCAAACCTTAAAAAAATTGGGGAAACGCCCCAAAATGATCGGGGGGGGGGGAAAAGAAGAAAACACCCCAAAATGCCCCAAAAATGAGCTGGGGGGGGGCTCTGAACCCCAAAACTGATTTGGGGGGCTCAGGGAATCCAAAAAAACCCCAAAAGCGGAGTTTGGGGCAAAGCTGCGGGGCCAGAGGGGGTTTGGGGGGACCCCGGGGGTGTCCTGGGCACTTTTGGGGTGTCCCAGATCATTTTTAGGATTCCCAAATCACTTTTGGGGTGCCCCAGGTGAGTTTTGAGTTGTCTTTGGTCCCTTCAGGGCTGCCCCTGGTCACTTTTGGGGTGTCTTTGGTCACTTTTGGGGCACCCAGGCCACTTCTGGGGCTCCCCAAATCATTTTTAGGATTCCCAAGTCACTTTTGGGATACCTCAGGTGAGTTTTGGGGTCCCCAGGTGAGTTTTGGGGTGCCCAGGTGAGTTTTGGGTGCCCCAGGTGACTTTTGGGGTGCCCCAGGTGACTTTTGGGGTGCCCCAGGTGAGTTTTGAGGTGCCCCAGGTGAGTTCTGGGGTGCCCCAGGTGAGTTTTGGGGTCCCCAGGTGAGTTTTGAGGTGCCCCAGGTGATTTTTGGGGTCCCCAGGTGAGTTTTGGGTGCCCCAGGTGACTTTTGGGGTGCCCCAGGTGACTTTTGGGGTCCCCAGGTGACTTTTGGGGTGCCCCAGGTGAGTTCTGGGGTGCCCCAGGTGAGTTTTGGGGTCCCCAGGTGAGTTTTGGGGTGCCCCAGGTGAGTTCTGGGGTGCCCCAGGTGAGTTTTGGGGTCCCCAGGTGAGTTTTGGGGTGCCCCAGGTGAGTTCTGGGGTGCCCCAGGTGAGTTTTGGGGTCCGCAGGTCAGTTTTGGGGTGCCCGGGTCAGTTTTGGGGTCCCCAGGTGAGTTTTGAGGTGCCCCAGGTGAGTTCTGGGGTGCCCCAGGTGAGTTTTGAGGTGCCCCAGGTGAGTTCTGGGGTGCCCCAGGTGAGTTTTGGGGTCCCCAGGTGAGTTTTGAGGTGCCCCAGGTGAGTTCTGGGGTGCCCCAGGTGAGTTTTGGGGTCCCCAGGTGAGTTTTG